CCACTATATTAGTGTATGACTAAACTAATTAAATTATTTGGTTTACATATGATTTTTTGGGCCAGATGTATATTTTATTTGTAAAGTTTTTTTTATAAAAAAGTAATAGCGTGCGAGTGGTTTTTATTATTCTATTTTTAAAACGGTAATAAATTTTGAAATTAGTGTGTTATGCCAATGTATACAATTATATATATATATAAGAATAATTAAAAAAATATAAATTAGAATTAATAATTAATAACTCATACTTTTCTGTAAGACTCAGAAAGATGATAAAGTGGACTCCTTTAGGAGAGAGTAAACCTTCATATTATAATATAGATTCTAGGCCTGTTCAATCTGGTGTTCGGTCCGGTTTCGGTTCGGTTTTTTCGGTTTTCGGTTATTCGGTTTATAAAAATTAGCTACCATATAGGAACCATATTTAATTTGGTTTGGTTCGGTATTTATACTATCGATTTTCGGTTTATTCGGTTTTGTACCAAATAACATTAATATTTGATTTGGTTTTATATATATGAATTTAAAAAAAAACATATTGTCAAAACTATCATTTATTAAAATAATCTTAGGTGTTCATAAATATAAAAATATGAAATTAACAACAAACAAAACGAACAACGATTCAGTTTTGTACAGTTTTTCTTATTTTCTCTTTGTTCTTCCAAATAAATTACATGGTACGATTTAATTTCATAGATAATAGTTGAAGAAAATAAAATAAAATTATTAAGATCTATCTTCACAAGGAATAAAAAAGTTAAAAAAAAAGACTATTCCAAGAAAATAAATGGTTATATAATGTATATATTTGTATATTTTTCCTTTGATCGGTTTTGTTCGGTTTATTTGGTTTAATCGGTTATAAACTTAACCATATCCAAATCCTACGATTTTTATAAAATCATATCCATTCGGTTTATATGATATATACCAAATCCAAACCATATTGTTTATTTCGGTTCGGTTCAGTTCAGTACGGTCTGGTATTACCATATTGAACAGCCCTAATAGATTCCCTGGAAAACTTTTAGGAATGATTAAAGATCTTACATACTTTACCATAATGGGATGTGCTTACATAAACAACACTTTTGTATCCTAAGAGTTCGCCTTAACCAATATTTTTTTTTTTTTGCAAATTCATTTATAAAAACTATTTGCATAAGTATTACATATATACAATGCCAACTCAATATTACTGAGTTTCCTCTATCTCACCCATCACAAAAACATCAAAAATTTAATTCAAATCATCCACACTTAATCATTGGAAAGCTCCTCAAAATTTCCAAAGAGATATCATGGAGACTGAAACTATTGTGATACACATAAAAAAATTTCTAATACATGAATGGATAAATATTAGTTTCCAAGTAATTTCAACTCTTCGACTTTTTCTGATTTTTCAATAACATGCTAGACTCTTGAATATAAATAAATAATAAAATCTTCAAACAATATACATCTCACGAGCACCTGAAAACACTACTAAAAATGTCATAAATAATTTAAATAACCATTAAAATAAATGAAAATATGCATTTAAATATATATACTTTAATGTTAAAACTAGACTTTATGTCGTAACAACACTTTTACCATTTAGATTAGTAAATATACAATATGCTAAAATCTGAACAACTAAGTGTTACAAATGGATCAGCATAATGAATCCATAAATTACTTAACAATATAGCTATGAAATGATAACCTATAAACAAAAACTGATCATGTAGGTTTTAATGAAGTCATGGTTGTGACCGTGAACTGAAATTTCTCCACAGTTTTGGTTGTACGGGTGAAACTAGAAAACACACAAAATTCAAAAATTAAAGGAAATCGGTAAACGCTTGTGTAGCTAAACCTAATTGCGTTTGTTTGTCTTGTTTCTCTTTCTTCAGCATCTTTTTTTTTTGTAATTAAAAACCAGTGATTTCTTTCAATGTGTTTTAAATTTTTATATTAAAATTGGTGTTGAAAACCATTATCACAATAATTCTAAAACAAAATGCAAATAATATCCTGTGCGCGCATGCAAACCACTAGTATTAAAGATTTAGAAAATCGTTTTCATATTTCTTGCCAAACTGATTTATGTTTGGTCTTCAAATTTCAAAATAGAGAAAAGTGTAACCCCGCGGAACTTGATCCCGTCTTTAATTAATCAGATACATAATAATTACAGTTTGCTATTTTGGTGATAGATTTTGCCTAATTAAACTCAAATTTTCATATGATTAATCGATTAATGTTGTATAAAAGAATTTTGCATCTGATTAACTTATGTAACCGTGAAAAATCTAAATTTGTTTTTCTTTGCCAAAATTTTAACTCATGTTAACGTAACAAGAAAATATCAACTGAAATGCTAAAATAAATCTAAGCCACATATTGCAACTATTATTAACGTAATTCTAGCCCTATTAATCGGTTTAATTAGTTAACTTTGACTATCGTTTAAAAAAGTTCCTGAAATTACTAAAAATAGCACACGTTCCATACATATAAATCTCCCACCAACATCATTCATTTTCCTCAGACCTGCAAGAACTTCAAAAACACACAAAAACTTAATAAAAAGAAGTAAAAAAGCCTTTCAGGTCTCAACAATGGAGATGAAGAAGATCGCTTGCGGTGTCCTTTTCGCTGCTGCCTCCATGACCGCCGTCATGGCTGTTGAGGAAGCCGGAGCTCCTGCACCAGGACCCTCTTCCGCCGCCTCGGTTGCCCTCCCGGCTCTTGGCTCTTTGGTTGGGGCTTCCCTTGTGTCCCTCTTCAGCTACTACTTGCACTAAGCTATATCTTCATTATGTAATAATACCATTTGTGTGATCCTTTTCATTTCCTACTTATTTCAATTTCACTTGTCAACTAATAAAACTGAGAAAGTAATTCAAGAATAAACTTTCTCTTCTTCGCTTATTTGTGTTCTTTTCAATTTTTGATATGTGGATGGTATCACAGGTTTTGAATCTGGTTCCCTCCTGATAGGATTAAATTTGGGTACATGCTAAAGCCTATACCGAAAATAAAAATCCAACAAATATGTTATATTTAGCATTTTTATGCGAAACATCTTTTAGCATTTGATATTTACCAAGAACAAAGATGTAGTGCGTATCAGCGTCTGTAGGAGGTAAATAGATTTTGGAACATCAACTAATGGTTAAGTGCTAACATTATACACCTCAGAAGCTCTTTCATCAACTAGGGCTATACACTTCCTTCACATCCTCCACTTTAAAGCCCATGTTTAGGCCTATATGGTTGCCCAACGCCTAACAAACCAGTATTGTCTCTTCCCATTCGTGCGTGTAAGGCAAAGATTGTTTTTTACAACGGTTATTTTAAGAAGTAAAACCAAAAAGAAAGAAAAACTATATTTACAAGTATGAACACAGATAATCATCATATGATGGTTATGCTTCATTGAGCAAGTTTTCCTACACACAGAAGAAGCAACCAAGAATTATTTTAGATATGTGGACCTCCTAATGAAAGTAATGTCTAATTAAAAGAGATTTTGCGACAAATATCAAGACTCAAGAATATATTTAGTTGACTTTGATGAGGAAAGGATGGTCCTACCGAACCGCAGCCAACCAAAGTTGACTTGGCTTGTTCTTGTTCTTGTCCCTCTCTATCTCTCTTTATTTCTTGCGTCCATTCTTTTGCAAGACGATCTTCAACCTCATATTCTGTGTGTTAGAGATGTTGTGTTTGTTCAAAAGGAAGAAGAAGAAAAAAGAAGAGGAGATTCATTTCCAGAAGAATGGGAGTTTGTTGTTGGAGGAACTCATTGCATCTTCAGGAGGTATATACAACCCCATCCGTACATTTTCTTCCCACCAAATCCTTCAAGCCACAAACAACTTCGACTGGAACTATATAATCTCCGAAGACAGATTCGTATGGTACAGAGGAACGATCCAAAACAGACCCGTGCTGATAAAAAAATACCAAGACTGTTCCCTTTTCGACGCTGACAACTTCTACCGTGACATCACCGTCTCATCTTTGATGAGTAGCCATAAGAACGTTCTCAAGATCCTGGGATGCTGTCTAGAGTTTCAACATCCAGTTCTCGTGTGTGAATACCCGGAGAATGGAGCTCTAAACTGTATAAAACGTGCAAGAGATGGAGCCACAAGACCGTTTCCTTGGAATGCAAGGTTGAGAATTGCTAAGGAGATTGCGGAAGCTGTGACCTATCTTCATACCAAGTTTCCAAGAACTATAATACATAGAGATTTAAAGCTTGCAAATATCTTCTTGGATGAGAATTTGACTGCTAAGCTCTCTTCTTTCAGTCTCAGTGTACTGATTCCAGAAGGAGAATCTAGTGTGAATGACATGGTTTGCAGGACATCAAGCTATATTGAACCGGAGTATCTCAATACAGGTTTGGTTACAGAGAATGTAGACATATATAGCATTGGAATCATCATGCTTATACTTTTGGCAGGGAAGTCTAAATATACTTCGGAAGTTGCTGTTTATCTTCCTCTATTGCCTGTCTATGTTGGCAAGTTAATGGATAAAGGTTTGTTGACTCAACTGATAGACCCTTCGCTGTTAATAAGCGTGAGTGGTGATATCCCTGAGGATGTAAGAATGCAAATGGAAGCATTCATTGAGCTTGCTTTTAGATGTGTAAGATTTAGACCAGGAGAAAACGAGCTTCACATGATAGACGTTGCTAAAGAACTCAAAAAGATAGAGAAACTTACCTGACATCCTTTAGATATCTTTTGTTTCTGGACTATGAAGCCAAGTTTGAAGCTGAAGTATGGAACTCAGACTCAGAGAGTCTCAGATTCACATATGACTGTTTCTAAAGATCCTCTGTGTGTTTTAGTTGTGTGTATATGCTTGCATTATAGTACTTGAGAGATATATCTTCTGTGAGTGATATCACAACTTGTTTTGGATTCTTAACGCATTTTCCTGTTAAATGAAAGTTGGTATTCTGTATATGAATTGTCTTAATTGCAGGAAATCCATAAGAAAGAGAACATTGCTACAATAAATTGTACTTAATAGTAGAACTTACATTGTAGTATCTTCAAGCGGAAAGAAGAAAATAAGAGACAAAAGATCAGTTTCAAGAAAAAACTGGAGCTTATTGCTGGAGGGAACTCATAGCATCGTAAATTCAGTCCTATCAGTACATTTTCTTCCTAACAAATCCTTCAAGGTACAAACAATTTACACTGGAGCTATGCAATATGTGAAGACAGATTGGTTAAGAAACAGATCCGTTCTGATCAAGAAGTATAAAGATGAACCCTTCTAACTGATGCTAAGATCCTCGCCTGTTTTCAGAACCTCAGAAAGATATTTATGTACCCACAAATCAAATCTCTTTCTTAATCAAAAATAAAGTATTTATTAGAAAATCCAGCAATACACAAAACACAACCTTACTATGTATGAGCATAATCCCAAATCTCAAATCTGACTATCCTAGAGTGATGCTTGTTCTATAAGCTTAATCTGTTTCGCAACCAAGATCATCTTAGGCCTGTCTTCATTCCTCTCCTCGCAGCATCTAAGTGCCAGGTCGAGAAACATTTTCATCTGACCAGGCCTCATGTCGTTTGAATCGCCTCCGAATTCAATAGGTTCTCCTCTCTGCTGCAGATCCTTCACATAATCAAGAATTCTATTACCAAAATCCAGTTCCCCATATGATTTATCTAAAACTGCTGGTTTTCCAATCAGAAGAACCAACATAAGGATTCCAAAACTGAACACATCTGAAGATGCTGTCAGAAATCCCGTCGCCATATAAAAAGGATCTACATATCCATAAGTTCCCATTATATTCTCTTTAGGCTTAATATCTCTGTGAATAATGATTCTAGGGAAAGCAGTGTGAAGATAAGTTATAGCAATCGCAACCTCCCTCCCAATCTTTAAACGTACATTCCACGGCAACACCGGACCATCCAAGCTACCAACATTTCCTAGATGGTTCATAGCTTTATATTCTAGGTCTTCAAATACCATCACCGGAAGTGGAAATTCGAGACAACAACCCATGAGTTTGAGGAAACCATTGTGATTACTTACCCGAGCAGACAAGACAATATCGTTGTAAATTCTCTCTTCTTCTTCTTCGTCTTTACTCCACGACTCTGAAAATTTCTTGATCGTGTAAGATCTGCTATCAATGACTCCCTTGTAAAAGGTAAAACCCCAATATGAAGTTAAAGATGCTAGCTCAGGGTGTAAATAGTTGGGATCGAAGTGATTGGTGGCCTTGGAGATTTGATGGGAAGAGAACATTCTGATAGGGTTTGATATGCCATTACAGTCAGCTATGAGTTTCTCAAGAAACATGCTTCCATTTTTGAGGAAACACTTTCTCTCCTTGCTCTTCCTTCTCCAGAATTCCATCGCCGTTGTGAGTGACAGAAACGATCTTACAGTTTCCTTCTCCTTCTTCCTTCTCCAGAATTCCATCGCCGTTGTGAGTGAGAGAAACGATCTTCCAGTTTCCTTTTTCTTGATGAGAAAAATAAAGACGAGGATGGTAATCAAAGGGAAAGTTTTGTCGGAAATAATAAACATGTTTAACGAAATTTCTAATATTTTATATTGAATTATTGTTCCTTTTTGACTCAACTTTCCGACAACAACTTTCCCTTTAAACCATATCCTTGTCTTCTCCCAAATAATTCATCTCCAATCAAGATTATTTTGTACTGAAATAAGAAGACGGATTGCTTGATGAACAAGAGAAAGAAGAAGAAAAACTCAGAAACAAATCAACGGCTATTGTTCCAAAAGAACAGGAAGGTCCTCTTACAAAATTTCATCAAGCTTTGCAGTGGCAAATCAAAATCCAATCAAAACTATTTTCAGGTACCCAAATCATTTAATCATAATCAACCAATGAGAGCAATCACTTGTTTTTCCTGGAGTTAATGTACAAAACAGAGGTGTGCTCGGCATGTCCTAATCAAAAGAGCCATTTATACACATCTGATACGTTAGAAAATATCTGTTGCGATAGAGCGGTCTCATCAGTGGTGAGTGGTCACAAGAACTTCCTCAAATTGTTTGGATGCGATTTTGAATTTGAATATCCGGTCTTAGTTTGTGAGTATGATGAACAGTCCAAGTTTGAGCATACTTTAAAAGTTGCTATTTATCTTCCTGTATTGTCTGTCTACGTTGGCAAGTTGATGAAACGAGGCCTGTTGTTTGTTGACTGAACTGATAGACCCGTCGCTGTTGGAAAGACGAGATCCCCGAGCATCTAAGGTTGCAAATGAAAGCATTCATTGAGCTTGCTTTTAGCCCAGGAGTAAACGAGTTTTACATGATAGACGTTGCAAAAGAACTCAAGAAGATAGAGAAACTTATCTGACATCATCTAGATATCCTCTGTTTTTGGACTATGAAGTCAAGTTTGAAATTTCATTTCCTTCTGAAGCTGAGTATGGAACTCAGACTCTCAAGCTCAGATGCAAATATGACTGTTTTTAAATATCCTCTGTTTTTGGTTGTGTGTATATGTTTGCACTAAAATACTTAAGTGATGTGTCTTCCCTCAATAGTATCACAACTCATTTTGGATTCTTAACACAGTTTCCTGGTAATGATTTTTGTTTCGGAAGCTAGTTTATGTAAATAAACTGTCTGCCTTACAGAATATGCATCAGAAACAGAACATTACTACGATAAGTTATACCTAATACTAAAACTTACATTGTAGTATCTTCAACTGGGAAGAAGAAACAAAATAATATCAATTTCCAGAAAACAGCTGGAGCTTATTGCTGGAGTAACATTGCATCTTCAGGAGGTAAATAGAATCCTGAATCTGTACTCACTCCTTAGGTTCTGCCTGTTTTCAGAACCTCAGAAAGATTTATGTACCCTCAAAATCAAGTCTTATTAAAAAATCATATACTACAGGAAATCCAGCAATACACAATAAACAACCCTACTAGGTATGAGCATTATCTCAAATCTTAAAAATCTGACCATCCTCGGATGATGCTTGTTCTATAAGGAGAAAATGAGCTTCACATGATAGACGTTGCTAAAGGACTCAAGAAGATAGAGAAACGTATATGACATCCTTTAGATGCATATATGACTTTTTTTGGGGGGGGGGGGGTGTAAAATGTTAAGAACACATGATTATTTTTAAGATCTCTGTTTATTTGGGATATGTAGTACTTTTGTTTAGGAACCTAGTTTATGCATATGAGCTGTCTGACTTGCAGGAAATGCATCAAAAACAGAACATTGCTAATAGTTTACGTACCCTAAAAACACTTTCTAAATTGAAATAAAGTCTTATTAGATAATCATATACTACAAGAAGTCCCAGCAATACACACTACACAACACTAATTGGTATGAGCATAATCACAAATTCTGAATCTGACCATCCTCAGAATTGTAAGTTTTTAACAATCTAGTGATCTTTCTATGTGCTTAATCTTTTTTGCAACCAAGATCATCTTAGGCCTGTCTTCATTCCTCTCCTCGCAGCATCTGAGTGCCAGGTCGAGAAACATTTTCATCTGACCAGGTCTCATGTCGTTGGAGTCACCCCCAAATTCAACAGGTTCTCCTCTCTCTCGCATATCCTTCACATAATCAAGAATATGACAATGAACACCACTTGATAAAGCAAAAACTGCTCGTTTTCCCAGCAGAAAAACCAACATAAGGATTCCAAAGCTGTACACATCTGAATATTCTGTCAGTATGCCTGTGGAACGATAAATAGGATCTGTGTATTCGTAATTTCCTCTCACCTTATCTTTAATCCAGGATTTACCCTCAGGAAGTGTTACGGCAAACTTTAAATCAGTGAGCTTAGCCCTCCCATTCTTATCCAAGAAAACGTTATTTGCACTTATATCTCTGTGTATAATGATTCTAGAGAAAGCAGTGTGAAGATAAGTTATAGCAGTCGCAACATCCTTTGCAATCTTCAAGCGTACATTCCAAGGCAACATCGGCCCGTCCCAGCAACCAACCCTTCCTCGATGGTTCAAAGATCTATACTCTAAGTTTTCAAATACCAACACGGGTTGAGGAAATTCGAGACAACAACCCATGAGTTTGAGGAACCCAATGTGATTACTTACCCTAGCAGACAAAACAATATCGTTGTAAGGGTTGTCTTCATCCCAAAATTTTGAAAAGCACTTGATCACGTAAGATCTGCCTTCGATGACGCCTTTGTAAAAGGTGAAGCCCAAATATGAATATCTAGATGGAACCTCAGGGTGAGAACAATTGGGATCGAAGTGATTTGTTGCCTTGGAGATTTGATCTGAAGAGAACATTCGGATAGGGTTTGATATGCCGTTACAGTCCGCAATGAGTTCCTTAAGAAACACGCTTCCGTTTTTGAGGAAATACTTTCTGGCCTCCTCCTTCTCTTTCTCCTTCTCCTTCTCTTTCTCCTTCTGCTTCTTCCTTCTCCAGCATTCCATAGTCGAATGATGATGCCTCAGATTGCAATCTCTGCAGATACCGTTGAGACTTGACTTGAGACGTGCTCACAGTTTTCTTTTTGTTAATGAAAAAAATAAAGATGACGATTGTTTTGTTTTGTTTTGTGACAGCCAGAAGATTAAGACGGAAATAATAACATATGTTAATGGAATATTTATATTACATCTTCATTTATTTTTCCTTTTGACTCAACTTTGTTCCGACAGTACTTTGACTTTGAACCATTCACGTCTTTTCTCCGAAAAAAAAAATCATCTCTAGTAAGTTTTTTTTTGTAATGAGATCATAAGATGAATTGCTTGATGCACAAGACAAAGAAAAAGAAGAACCCAGAACCAAATCAACAGCTAAGATCGTTCCAAGAGAACGGGAATGTCCTCTTAAAAGATCTCATCGAGCTTTGCAATGGCAAATCACATCCAATCTAAACTTTCTCCGCTACACAAATCCACCACCAACTTCAGCGAGAGCAATCTCCTGTTTCTCGTGGAGTCTTTATGTACAAAAACAGAGGTGTGCTTGAAAAGCGGCATGTCGTAAATTAAAAACTACGTAAGGAATTTATACACATTTGATACATCAGAAAAGATCGGATGACAGAGCGGCTTCAATAAATGGTGAGTGGTCACAAGAACTTCCTCGAATTGTAAGGATGATGTCTTTAGTTTGACAATATCCGGTTTAGTTTTGTGAGTATTCTGAACGAGTACATTACAACACTCCATGTTTGGGAATGTTTTCGTGGGGATTGGGAATGTGAATAAAGATGGCAAAAGAGATAGGTATAGTGGTTTCTTAGCTCCACTCCGTCTTCTCCAGAACTACAACCTTACGAGATTTTCTTGGATTCAAATGAGAACTGCAAAGCTAAGTCGGTTGTCTGTGTTTTACTCCCACGCAGCAGCATTTACCTAGAGGAACTGGTTAAGATTTGGACTGTGTTTGGTGGGTTGAGCCAGGCCATGCAGTAGTGCAACACATGGGCGACTCACGAAAGCCCAGATAGCAAGCTATCTTAACGGGCTCTCTCCCTCAAAAAATAGAGTTAATATCGAGCAGGCCAATGGCCCACATATCAGATATTAAACTGATAAGAACAGATACTACACTTGATCTTAGCCAAAAGGCCGAGAAAGGTATGATTTGGATGAGAGCCTCGGATTTCTTTTTATAGTGTCTAGCTTATGACTAATGACTCTCTCTCTTACGATGTGGGACTCTTAGAAATATCTTTTTTCTATCTTATGACCAATGCGCCTCTCTACAGGTTATTTTTCAACTGTCGGTTCTTTCCCATTACTCACGGAAGTTTCACAAACGTAGAAGAACGATGGAAACTACACAAAAAGTTTTTCAAACGCAGAAACGGATGAACTTGGTTGTTCAGGAAACTCACGCTTGTTCCATTGGGTTCATATAAAATAGTCTGAAATTTTCAATTGGGTTATACTTCATTCTTTCTCCTAGAAGGCCTGTGAAGCTTGTGAGCTGAGCTGGAGTGGTCTGGTACAACCGAATATAGAGAAATCTCGAGAGATGCAACTTCTCTTAACTCTTCTTCAAGATTCTCAATTCTTTTCTCCAAACTCTCAATCTTTTGTTTCAATGCTTCTTCGTCCTCACTTGCCTCCTTCTCACTTACACTACTAATGCCATTATCTGAAGCATTTTCCTCAACTTCTTTTACCAAATGATCCGCTCTCTTATCGTCATTACCACCTTTACAAGTTTCTGACAAGGGTTCAGAGTCTTTGCTTTCTTTCTTCCTCGTTGTCATCATCAACACCTTTCACCAAGCCATCCACACGCTCTTGTTTCTCTCCGGCTTCACTAGACTCTGGCTCTTGATGACTCTCTGAAGACCCATTCGCGGTGTTATCATCTGCTTGTGTAGCTGTAAGACTTACTGCTTCAGGGACCTTAGATTCTTCCTTAGCTTCCAAAGGCTTGAGTCTTTCTTGCTCCTGAAGATCTCTGAGCACCGTAAGTCTTCTTTGTCTTTTGATCTCTTCTCCCATTCTTCATAGACTGATTCGCCTGTACAGTGTTAGATGTTCTTCCCTTCATCATATCACCAAACTCTCTTCACTTCTTCATTAGTGCAGCAAATGCAGCAGTTACTTAACAACTTCTAAGTTAAAGAGTCTGAAAAGGAACAGAGGAAAATGACAAAACACCAAGTTTGAAACTCATTTCCTTCTGAAGTATGGAACATAGACTCTCAGAGAGGCTAAGATGCACAAATGACTGTTTATTGTGTGTGTATATGCTTGTACTATAGTACTTAAGAGATATATCTTCTCTCAATTATGTCACAACTTTTTTTGGATTCTAAACGCATTTTCCTGTTAAATGAAAAAGGTATTTTTGTTTCAGAAGCTAGTTTATGTATATGAACTGTCTGAATTGCAGTAAATACATCAGAAACAGAACATTGTAACTGTAACATACATTATAGTGCCCATGTTACAATGTAATAGTTTCTGGACGAGCATTGGACCTCCAAACTTCCATCTTTTAGCGTCAGCATACCGGTTCCAGAGGGAGAATCAAGCATGGATGACATGGGGACTACTATATCGATCCAAGTTACCTTAGAACAAAATACAATGACGAGAATTCAAATGCAATAAAGGTTACAACGACAGAGAGGATCTCTAGCTAGAATATCTCAGTGATGCCTGAATCTGCTTGAGTTCTTTAGCTACTTGGATCATCTTTGGTCTGTCTTCATCTCTCTCCTTGCAGCATCTTAACGCAAGCAGAGCACAAGCTTCCAACTGCAATCTCTGACCGCATGAGATGTCTTTAGCCATCATTGGTTCTAATTCATGGAGCCTCCCATTATCATTTAACTTCTTTACATATCCAAGAATACCGACGTAGTCTCCATCAGAGCCAACGGAAGCGAGAGCTCTTCTTCCAGTCAAAACAACCAACAAAAAGACCCCGAAGCTATACACATCCGTATATTCTGTCACACAATGTGTGGCATGATATAACGGATCCAGGTACCCAAATGTTCCTATAACTGTTTCAACTTCTATTTTTGTTTTTCCCTCTGGGAGAGATATAGCATAGGATAGATCTGAGAGCTTTACGGCCCAGTTCTTGCCCAAAAATACATGCATTGGCTTCACATCTCGATGTATGATAATCTTAGGGAACGCCATGTGAAGATAAGTCACAGCATTTGCAATCTCCTTACTAATCTTCAACCGTACACTCCATGGCAATATTGATTCCTCCCCGTTCACCATAATACGTCCTTGCCGATCAAGAACTCTATGTTCTGCATATTCAAACAAAAGTACCGGAAAGCTAAACTCCAGACAGCATCCTAATAGTTTTAGAAAGTTATTGTGGTTGCTCATGCGAGCAGACAAGACAATATCTTTGTAAACTACAACCTTGTATCCCTTAATTTTATCCTCTGGGAATCTCTTGATCATGTAAGATCTATCTTCGATTTTACCTTTATACCAGCTATAGTACGTATCTTCCGAGACAAAACAACTTGAATCAAAGTTGTTTGTGGCTTTAAGGATCTGGTCAGGAGAAAAGCTGCGAATAGAAATGGATTTACCATTACAATCAGCAATAAGTTCTTTTAGACAGATGCTTCCGTTGTCCAAAAACCACCTCTTCTTCATGTCATTTTCCTTCCTTTTGCTAATCTCAGATCTCTGAAACATATTCTTCATCAGTTCCTAACCAAAGGAGTATCAAAAGTCTTCTTAGTTGATGAGTAAACGATGGTCATACACAGCCAGAGCCTGCCACAGTTGACTTGACTTGTTCTTGTGTTTCTGACTCTTTCTCTCCCTTTTTGAGTTCCAAGAAGTTCCGGGCTTAAGCCCATAAGATAGAAACCCATTTTTCACTCTTGCTCTCTTCTTTCCCAAGAAATATTCAAGCTCTTTTGTTTAGAGATGTTGCGGTTGCTCAAGAACAATAAAAATGTTGCAAAAAAAGCTCAAGCAAATAGAAAAAAACAGATCTAACGCTACAAGCTTCTCTGATGAGCCCCTTAAAACAGATCTATGTAGTATGTAGTCTTAGTAGTGAAATGTTGTAATGATATACGTTGGGTACAAAGAAACTGAATTTCCATACTTCCTAATATACATTATACAAGGATTGTTACATAGCTACATATATAGAGTTCAAGGAAATGTAAAAGAACTTGTGAAAAGTTCAGAACAGAGTATCTTTGAGCACAATACTTGAGCACTTGTAAGGTATCTCATCACCATAACCTCAGTTACTTCATTGAGCATTTGAGCTTCTTATTCTCATATAAGCCTTTCACATCTTCAAGATTACCTACCGGATAGTATCAGATACTGTGAAGTAAACTGATTTACCAGAGAAAGAAGCCATCACAATGAGACTCCAAAGTTGTACACATCTGTAAATTCTGCCACAAGCAATGCAACTTGCAAAGTAAAAATATGAAATTTCATCGAGATTAATAAACACTAAGGACACAGAGGGTAAAAGAACATAGTACTTAAGCGTTACAGCTGAAACATAATCATTAATCTCTTGTCCATCTTCCGGTTTCCCTGAGACAATTTATTTTATGCATGTATGAATTTAAAACTTGTTCTTTATTCCCCTTTTTTTCTGAACCCATCTCACATCAATAACTCTAAAATGATATCTGAATCCGCTTGAGTTCTTTAGCAACTTCGATCATCTTTTGCTTCTATTCATCTATCTTCTCACGGCATCTCAGAGCAGGGCCCTGGGCCAAGGTTAAGGCTGTTGAAATATTTGCCTCAGCCCCTCTCCCCCCAAAAAAATATTTTATAAGCCCCCAATTAGTTAGAAAAATTTTTTAGCTGGATTATTTAGAAGATGAATCCTTGGACAAGGCATTTTTACATAACATCAACTCCTACTTTCTCTTATTTAGAAGATAGAACTTCTAAGGTAACCATTCCTAGTCATACTATTTTTCACCGTCCTGAAAACCGAAAATAATAGGACTTACTCCATCGGGAGGTCAAATCCTTGTGGTATCTATATATAACTAGATTTTGACCCGCGCTTTGAAAGCGTAAAATTATATTTTGTTTGACATGCCTACCTAAAAAGTAAAGAGGTTTGGGTTCAAGTATTTTTCACTTTTAATTTTTTGAATTTTTATTTTTTTCCAGATTTTATAAATATTTTTTTTTCTTTTTTTATATATTTTTAAAATTCATTGATTTTATTTTTATCTTTATGAGTTTCTAAGATTTTATTTTATTTTTATTTTCTTTTTTTTTTAAATAGTTTTCTTAATTTTAATCGATTTTAAAGTTTATTTTTGTGTTTTATTAAATTTTTAAATTCAATTTTTTTTATTTTTTTTTCTTGATTTTTGCTGAATTGATTTCAATTTTGAAATTTATAATGAATTTTAAACTAATTTTATTGTTTTTATTAATTAAAATAATTAACTGATTTCTTAAATAATAACCGACACGTCACTGGTTTTATCTGTTAATGAACAGTAACCAGTCATAATTTTGACATGTATAACAAGTAATTTTTCTTTTTTATAACACTGTTGGGTTTGAAAAGTTCAACATGATACAAAAGAATAAACAAAAGAGATAAAATGAGATGTCATTAGACACCAAACAAAAGTGGAAGAAACCTCACCAAATCTCCTTATTGCTGAGCCTCCAAAGCGAGTAAGTGATGTAGCCACACCGGAGCATTTCACGCGATGTACGACTGGTGACGCAGATCACGAGTGACACTTAAAAAAATTGCCGCTGCAGCTTCGTTGCGTTCAGGAAGAGCGTGATTCAAACTCTATGAATCTATGCTTGATAGAAGGAAAGAGATATTGTGGCAAATATGGCTGTGACTATGGTGTTCCTCAGGCTGTGTGAGCACATCATGTAGGATCTCCGACGAAGTCTCAAAAATAATATTTGAGTACTGTGGATTATGTATACATTCAACCGCCCAAAAAAGAGCCCACAATTTCGTCTCAAATTTTGTGCGCATACATGAATAGGCTTGGCGACTATGCATGATTGTAAGCCCATTTTCATCACGTAAAATCCATTAAATGCCACTAAGATGATTTGAATTTACCCATGAGGATCCCACATTACATTTGAGGAAACCATTGGGGGGTTTTTCCATCGAACCATTTCCGTATCGACATCACCAACTACATCCTTCGATCCTGTGAATATATCAGACCATGTGGATTCTTCTTCATAGGCTTTCTTAGCAATAAACAAAGACTCAATAACCTTTGTTTCAAAAACAAAAGCATTCCTAACTTTCCAAATTTCTCATAGCAACCATGGAAAAACCTTCCTTGTATGTATATCCGTAGATGAACTCTTAACTATCTTGATCAGGTGCATAAAATTTAAAAAGGTGGAGTTCCGAGAGAAACCTCCAAAGGGTACTGGAAAAGTAGATTGCTCCCATGTGGCCCGTGCGTTAACACAAGTAAAAAGAACATGACATATACTCTCAGCACCATTACCACAAACAGAGCAAGTTGGGTCGTTCGGAATACCCCGAGTAGTCAAACGTTGCTTAACAGCTAACACACCAGATAGAGCTCGCCACATAATTTTTTTTTATTTTTGGTGGAGCTTTGGTCTTCCACAAGTCTCTCCACAATTGTTTCTCAATAGGAGTGAGAGAGTTTCCTTGAGGGTGATCAAACTCCGCCAAAGCCTCCAACAACTTATACCCACTCCGAGTCGAATATGATCCACATAGTGTGAAATCCCATCTGATCGAATCGTCAAGTACCAGTGATGGTTTCAGAAGTAGTATCCTTTAAACATCCGGTTGTGTAAAAGTCTGATGTAGCAAATTAATGTCCCATTGATTCGACCCCTGTATGAATAAATCAGAAACTCTTAGCGCTAAATTTATAGGGCTATTCTCACGGTACATTTGAGGTCAAGGAACGGTGACAATAATCCAGTGTGGTTGTATCCTGGGATTCTCATTGCGTAAACACTGTCACACTACAGACAATGAAAGAATTAAGGAAATAGTTTTTCGTCTCCACACGAAACCATTCTTTGCTCATTATATTTTGGTATCAAGTATTGTTTTATTTATTTATATTTTTATCATATATAAACAAATTATTGAGTTTACAATATCGAAAAAATCATAGTCAATCTATTGCATCTGGATGTGTCTTAAATTTCTATGCACCAATAAAAACCCAACATTCTTTATGTTTTTCCTTCTTTATTTTCCAGCATTCCATTGCTCCCCCCAAATAATAATGCCTCAGATTGCAATCTCTACTAATATAGTTGAGGAAAGACTTTACATAAACGAACACATTCTATTTTATGTTTGCATTTAAAGACACATTGTCTACTTAACATACTTTGTGTGGACAGTTGTTTTATTTTGGACAGAAATAAATTTTTATCTTTGTAAGTAGAAGAATCTCTTTCTTAAAAAGTAACCATAAACTAACGTACAATTTGACAACAATTGGTTTAGTTAGTTATTTTAATTATATTATTACTATTCATTTAATCTTATGTTTATTTGTTTTTTCAAAGTTTAAGAGTAAGATTAGTACAATAAATTGTAATTTTGTTCTCTTTATATTTTAACATTCATTGTCATATATGTATTTTATATCTTTAAGAATTATATAAAGAATACATAGACACAAGAAGTGTATTGTGGACATAGAAGAAAAATACATAGACACAAAAAGTATGGACATGAACTTGTGGACATAAAAGAAAAATACATTATAACAAAAAAATGTGGACATAAGAATGGATGAAAAAGTGTTAAAAAACTCTTATTTCTTGTGGTTAGGGATGAAAAAGCCTTAAAACTCTTAATTCTTGTGGTCATTGTTGTGGTCATCAAATGTGTTGTGGATGGGAATTTGTGGTTAGGGGAGAGTGTTATTATGGTCGGTAGTGTTGTGATCAAGACTCTGGTGTCAGTGGGGGGTATGGATGCCGATGTTGGCGACAGCCTTCTCCACAAACACCTCCACTCCGATATCCAACATCACCTCCACCACGACTCCACCGCCATTGCCATCGCATCAAACATCGCCCTCTCCACTGCTATATCAACTGTCACTTCCACCACAATCTCTAATATCCAAAGCCACCGCATCCACGAGAATGAACCTCGTTCATAGTAATGTTGAGACAACAATGGTGGTGATAGGATGGTGATGAAAAGAACAGCCGGCAGTGGTACAATTCCAGAATAGAAATTGAGAAATAAAGATCAAGAAATAGAGATCGAGATTTGGAAATCTTACTTATTTATTCGACGAACAAGATTTGGCCGATTCCATAGTTTAATCTGTGGTTGACAGATGGAACCATAGGAGTTTAGTGATGAATTTGAAATTAAGAAGTAACATTTCATCAGATAAACTAAACGGTGGTCGAACAACAATCAGATGGTGTCAGCGGCGGAAGAGACTTAACAACAAAAGCTTGATTCTGGATTGTAAGAATCCTAGATTCTGGATCGAAGGAAAAAAAAATCTTTGAAATTAGGGTTTTGTTTGAGAAAGTAGAGGAAGAGAGAAGTCTCTCTTTTTTTTAACAACTTAAATTTATTAATTAAAATGTGATGCAAATACATATACAATACATATGAAAATAAAAAACAATAATTAGTACACGAAAATTAATTAGAAGACAATAGTAGATCCAATGAAGTAAATGTAGAGACACTTTTCCTTCAGAGATCTTCTTTCTTAATAGAGTATCAACTCTACTAATTTTCTTGCGAGCTTTAAATCTTCGTCGCATCATTAACACCGATTTTCTTTGTTGTATTACGTTGACATTATCCCATATTAGAGCTATAAATATTCTCCGGTCTAGAATCCAATCTATTGATTAAACCGGAAAAACTAAAATCTGGGATAACCAATTTTCAATGTTTGTAAGAATATCGCCATACAACAAAGAAACTACATCTGCCACTCCATATTGTCGTTCTTTCCATGAAAGTTTCCATGGTCTCAACGATAGATCAGATTTATCCATATTTCGATACCAAATATATTGTACCAAAATATAGAATTTAAAACCTGTTTTCGGAGTTGTTCCTGTATTTCTGACTTCATCATGTATCCTTTTCAACATCTCTTTTCCAGGATCCCAAATTCATCGACCGAAGCACCATCGAATGAGAAGAAGACACAACCATGTAATCAAAAGTTGACAACTACTTATCAAACTGACATCACAGTGGATCTTTGCCACCATGGAGATAAAAAATATCTGAATGGAATTCCTGTAAAAAAACTCCACTTCGACATCATTATGGAATTCTAGTAACCAGTTATGTACGTGATGTGGCACATGTCTTGTTGATGGTGCTTCGAATGAACTCAGATTGTAGATGCTCAAACTCTGATCGAGAGTTATCATCATCAAGCCATGATCCTTCACATGCATGGTTATAAGAAAATGTAACATAAGAGCACTACGTGTTCGTCTTAGGAGAAAGACCATTAGCATGGCCATTGTCAACATCAAGATCACCATGCTGATTCCCAGATCGGAGGAGTATCAACGGAACCCTTTTGATGTCTTGATCAGAAGAAGAATTTGATCAACAGAAAAGAGAAAGCGGTCGCATCTTTGATCACCAAATTAACCGCACACTAACCGTTTTTTTCCTCTCTTGACAAGAAGAATAAACGCAAATTTTATAAGTGTCGGAGAAGTGTCTTATCCGAAACTTATGAAGAGATGAAAAAGCAAAATAAAAAGAAAAGGAAATTATAGTTTACAAATTAATTGATTGTTTGTAGAATTAGTTAGGAGATTTCTTAGTTTGGATAGTCTTTAGGAACACATCGAATTATAATTAAAGGTCGAACTATAATTATAGGGTAGATTGGACAAATCAATATGATAAAGTGTGTGGTAAAGTCCAAATGTCTTTTTGGGTAATTAGATTTCTGGAATGTGTCTTCTAGGGTAAAAATTTCATAGTTGAGAGAGAGACGATCTTTAAAGAACATTAATATGAAAATGTGTGTATCTCAAACTATGTTGACTAATCAACTTTCAAATAACGTGTCGCGAGTCTCTGTCCAAAAAAAAAAAAAAAAGTCAATGAGTGGAATTGGTTTGTAATGCATTCAGACAGAAAAGAGTCCTTCGAAGGAACATCTTTTCCGAAAATAATATTATCTTGAAAAAATGGAATCGTTGGTGAAGAAGTTGAAGCAGAGTATGACATCTAGATCGTCCAGGAACATGAAGGAAAAGGACACAGAGGAGGAAAGGAGGTTCTTGAAGAACGGAAGCAGATTCTTGAAAGAACCTATTGCTGACTGTAACGGTAAATCCGTTCCAATACGTAATTTTTCTTCTTCCCAGATCCTTCAAGCCACCAGTAAGTTCAGTTCAAGTTGTCTTGTCAGGAGTGAATGGGACAACAAAGGGTATAAAGGTACCATCGAAGGGAAGTCTTATTTGATCAAAAGATTCTTTGACTATACAGTTAAGGATCGCAGAGTAGGAGAGGCTTACAATGACATTGTCTTCTCTGCTAGGATGAGCAACCACAGCAACTTTCTCAAACTATTTGGAAGCTGTTTTGAGTTTAGTTTTCCGGTCTTTGTGTTTGAATATGCAGAACATGGAGTCCTGAATCACCGAGGACGTATTATGGTCAACGGGCAAGAATCTGCATTGCCTTTGAGTTTAAAGTTGAAGATTGGAAAGGAGATTGCTAATGTAGTGACTTATCTTCATATGGCCTTCCCTAAGATCATTATACATAGAGACATTAACCCGACGAACATTTTCTTGGACAATAACTGGACGGCGACTTGTCCTATGCCATATCTCTCCCTGAGGGAAAATCAAGAATAGAAACTGATTCAGTGATGGGAAGAGTAGGGTACCTTGATCCATTATACTTAGCCACAAATTTTGTGACAGAGTATACAGATGTCTACAGCTTTGGAGTCTTCCTGATGATTATTCTCACTGGCAGACCAGCTCTCGTCTCCACTAAATCTGATGGGGTTCTCAAGGTATGTGAAAGGCTTATACGAGAATGGGAAGGTCGATGAACTAATAGATTCAATGATGATGGAAGACATGACAAATGGTCAAGTACTGCAGCTGGAAGCGTGTATTGCACTTGCTCTGAGATGCTGTGAGGAGAGAGATGAAGACAGACTTAAAATGATCCAAGTAGCTAAAGAACTCAAGCGGATTGAACGAATAGAACAATCACTAGATGCTAACATCTAAAGGCTGATATGCTGGAAGATGGGTCAAGTTTAGTCAAGTGGACAAGGAAATTAACATCTTTAGTTTCCTTAGAAGCTTGGTGTGGAACTAAGGAGGAGTGTGATTCATAGCTTCGAATTGGGACATCATTCTACAGATCTGTTATTGGGCTATCAAGCCAATAATCTCTCCGGAAGCTCAGATGCACATATGTGACTCGTCACCTGGTTTTATGTGTGTATAACAGTATAAGCTTGCACTAAAAAACTTAAGAGGTATGTCTTCTCTCAAAGTATCACAGAGTTTTTGGATTCTTAATGCATTTTTCCTGTTAAAAGGATCTCAAGCATATAGAGACTGACTGTGCAAACTTCTGTGGTGAGACTTCAACAGATTTTATCTATCTATTATGCAGTATTAGTAGTGAGTGTTGTTTTGATCTTCTTGTCTTTCAAACTTTCTTTCACGATATATGTTTGTAAGAACCTGAATTTTCATAATAATAATGTAAGGATTGTTTACTTGGCTATTTCAGAACAGAGTCTTATAATGTTGTCTCGACTCGCTTGAGTTCTTTAGCTACCTGTACTATCTCCGGGCTGTCTTTGTCACTCTCCTCGCAGTATCTCAGACTCTCAGTGCAAATAAAACACAAGCTTCCAGCTGCAATCTTTGAGCACTTGCAATTTATCTCATCATCATAGCATCAGTTACTTGATTGAGCATTTAATTCTCATAAAAGCCTTTCACATATTCAAGAAGCCTGTGAAGTAAACTGATCTACCAGTGAGAAGAACTATCAATAAGACTCCAAAACTGTACACATCTGTATATTCTGTCAGAAGCAATGATGCAACTTGCAAAGTATAAACATATGAAACTTCATCAAAGGCTATAAACACAAAGGACACAGAAGGTAGAAACAAGAGTACTCAAGCGTTACAACTAAGCTTACATAACAGATTAATTATTCTCTTGTTCATTTTCAAGTTTCATGTCACAATTTATGTTATGCATGTATGAATTTAGAACGTGTCGTTCTAGTCCAAGAACAGAGAGGATCTCTAAAATGATGTCTGAATGCCTGGATTCAACCGAACTGAAGTAACTGAAGAACGACACGTTCTTGAATCCAGGCATTTTAGTCCAAGAACGTGTCGTTCCTTAGGTTCTGCCTTGTTTTCAGAACCTCAGAAAGATTTATGTAACCTCAAATGAACCCTTATTAGAAAATCATGTACTACAAGAAACCCGGCAATACACAACACAACCCTACTAGGTAGGTGTGAACATAATCTAAAATCTTATATTTGACCTTCCTCAGAAATTTGAAGTTTTTAACAATCTGGTGATCTTTCTATAAGCTTAATCTCTTTTGCTACTACGATCATCTTTGGTCTGTCTTCATTCCTCTCTTCACAGCATCTGAGTGCCAGGTCGAGTAACATTTTCATCTGACCAGGCCTCATGTCGTTAGAGTCGCCACCGAAGTTAACAGGTTTTCCTCTCTCCTGCATATCCTTCACATGTGTAAGAATACTAGTAAAAACTGAGTCCCCATCTGATAGAAGTTGTGGTCGTCCCAGCAGAAGAACCAACATAAATATTCCAAAACTGTACACATCTGTGTATTCCGACACTATTTCTGTCAAGTGATATATAGGATCTACGTATCCGGCAGTTCCAGCCAATCTATCTTTAATCCACGTCTTACCCTCAGGGAGAGTAACGGCAAGATAAAAACCAGTGAGCTTAGGAGTCCCATTCTTATCTAACAAAACATTCATAGGCTTGATATCTCGGTGTATAATGATTTAGGGAAAGCAGTGTGAAGATAAGTTATAGCAACCGCGACTTCCTTGGCAATCTTCAAACGTACATTCCAAGGCAACACCTCGAAACCAACACTTCCTACATGGTTAAAAGCTTTATATTCTAGGTCTTCAAATAACAACACCGGAAGAGGAAATTCAAGACAGCAACCAATGAGTTTGAGAAAACCACTGTGATTACTTACCCGAGAAGATAACACAATATCGTTGTAAGCACTCTCTTCTTCTTCACACACTTGCCTTGTAAATCTCTTGATCAAGTAAGATCTACCTTCGATGACTCCCTTGTACCACCTTAAGGGGGATGGAGTATGAGGAAGAGAATACTCGAGATCGAAGTGACTGGTGGCCTTGGAGATTTGATGAGAAGAGAACATTCTGATAGGGTTTGATATGCCATTACAGTCAGCTATGAGCTTCTCAAGGAACATGCTTCCGTTTTTGAGGAAACACTTTCTCTCCTTGCTCTTCCTTCTCCAGAATTCCATCGCTGTTGTGAGTGAGAGAGACGATCTAACAGTTTCTTTTCTTTTTCTTGATGAGACTGTTGAAAGGGAAAGTGTCGTCGGAAATAATAAACATATTTTCACGGAATATTTTATCTATATTTTATATTTCAGTTATTGTTCCTTTTGATTCGACTTGTGTTCAGACATCATTTTACATCATTTTCCTTTTGAACCATCCTCGTATTTTCTCCAAGAAAGAAGTCATCTCCAGTTCAGTTTTTTTTTTTAAATTGTACTCATGTTGTTGATCATAAGATGAATCGCTTGATAAACAAGACAAAGAAAAAAAATCTCAGAAGTAAATCAACGGCTAAGATAATTTCAAGATAATGACATTATTAAAATTTTCTTTGCTAACAAAATATCCGAATCATAATCCACCAACAAACTTCAGCAATCACATTTGTTCTCTTTCATTGTTTATATACAAAAACAGAGTTGTGCTTATAAACACCAGCAAGTCCTAATCATTGAACGTGTACAACACTCCAAGATTGAAATGTTTGAGAATATCCAGTTTAGTTTTGTGAGTATGCTGAACGTGTACATTACAAAACTCCAAGTTTGGGAATGTTTTCGTGGGGATTGGTAATCTATATTATAATGATACAGTTTAAAGGCTCTTTAAGGTGTCCACATAGGCAGATTGTGGATCCCACATTTTTATATTAAAATAGATAATTTTTCTAAAATGGCTATAAACAAAGAATATCAGTTTAGCTGAGTGGTCTAAGGCCCCATCTTTGGTTTGCAAGGGCATAGGTTCAATTCCCACTGCTCTCATGTTTTTATGCCTTTATTCTGTTTGGGTAATTTTCATATAGGCTTATTGTTTTTTAGGCCTAACAGAGTAACAACAAAACATGTCCCTCCTTTTGTGGTCGAGATGTTTCCGTCGTTGACGGTTTCTGTTCCGACGCGAACGAATGTGAAACTCCATACCTTCAACACTCAACTCATTCAATGCAGAAGAGACACCTCCTCTTCCTTAACGCGTTCTCCATCCTCTTATATATTGAGGTCTTATGAGGTGAGCTTTCCTTTCACTTTAGACTCTTCTTCAAATCTTCTTAATCCTTTCTCTATGCAAGACGTTTCGAAATGACTTCTTCAGGTGCTATCGTCACTCAAGCGTACGTGGTCTACTCCAAATTCAACTCTCTCCCCCTTGGAAGGATTTCTCAGTTTGTTGTTGGTCGTATCATCCGGTTCTGGGATTCTCGAAATATCAAAAAGAATGGCGAGTTCATGGGAATGGTTCTCCTCTTAGATGAAACGGTTCGTTATTTGTTACTGTTTTTTTTTTTTTGATTTATGGTCATATCTCATGTTTATGTTTCTTCCTATATGAAATCGCCTGGAGCCAAATTTAAAAATTGATTGCAGGACTCGGTGATTAACGGGTTCATCCCTGCTAACCGGACCAGCCACTACCGTCCCTTTTTGAAAGTCGGTTCTATTGTGAGATTGGACCGTTTTGAAGTTGCACGTTGTCCAGACGGACGCTCCTGTGATCAAAGCTGATCGATTCATGGTCACATTCAAGTGCTTGCAAACACCAACCTAAAGCTCCCAGGTTTGTGTATCATGTTAGTAGAGACGGATACGGTGATGTTTAGGTTATCTTTAATGTAGGACATGGCTAAAACATACTGCTTTATAGCTGATTAGTTAATTATTAGTTTATGTTTCAATGGGTTGGTGAAATTGTCTACTTATTCTATTCACAACAGAGACGTCACTGTGTAATTATCTTTGTGGGATGAGACTGCCTTGAGTTTTATAGGCATCTTGAAAGAAAGGGGATAAAACCAAGTCTGTGATGTTGGTGACCACGGTTAATCCTAAGTTGTTTGGAGGTAAGGTGCATTTGCTATATGATTCATAGAAAGAGGTTAACATATAATATTAGAACTGGTCTGTATATATATGGTTTTATCTGACAAGTTTTCTTTAAACAATCAGGCAACCTGTATTTGAACTCCACGCAAGGAACTAGATTTTTCTTTGATGCTAACATCCCTGAGATAGCAGAGTTTGTCAGCAGGTATGAACCGCATACTCAAGTTACTACTTAGTTTCTCCATATTTTGTGACCATTTAGATGAACCGTGTAACATATTTTACTCTTCAACATATAAATTTATTTGTCTATATTTGTAGTGTAACAGATTTTACTTAGTTTCTAGGTCATCTTTAGTGTAGCTTTTTCTTCATCATGGTATAAGAAGACCATAAACTAAGTTGTATGTTGTTGATTACTTTTAGCAGTGTAGCTAGAAAATGATTTCAGCTACAAAAGAGCATATTCTGATTGCATTTTGTATTAGGCACTACCCTATAGGAAAGAAGCGCTGATTGTATCTCCATGGCCACACAATTCACTTCCAAGAAACATTGAATCAATAAAAAGATTCGACAATTTACCAGCTTGGGTCAGTATAAATATCTGCCTTCATATATTCTTTTAAAGGATAAGGGTTCAGAACATGTTGACACCCTGCCTGTTTAATTTGCAGACAAGAGCAATTAGAAATGTACGAGCAGAGTATTCAATGGAACCGGTAAAACGTATATCTGCGTCAGTTGTTGGAAGTGCATAGGCAGTTGGCTACATCTTGGTCAGTAACTTAGTCTTTTGTGGTAGCATGGCATCCTTATCGAAATATGTTTATTATTTGAGTTTCCCTTTGGTGTATTTGTCTCTCTGTGCAGAATGAAAAGGAGGTGTTAACTCTTCTATCAAGGCTTGACTTAAACAACGTCCATTTTACCAACACCCCTCCTGGTAATATAATAATATTTAACTCATGTTACTCTCTTTTGTCTCAACTCTTTCAACTCTTGGTCACCATAATCATGGTTGGTCTTCTTCTTTAAGGTGATGCAAATCTCTCAATCCACGTTGCAGTCAATGAAGGACTAGAGGCGTATCTGCCACTTGCTGCCATGGTTGATATAGCTTCTGAAGTCCAACGCATTGACAACATCTTCTACAGAGAAGCCTACAATGGCCTTTCACGATCAAATGGTATCTTATTTACTATCTCCACCTATGCATTCCGCTTGAACTCCTGCCTCTCTGTTTTTTTTAAATTCAAAAAAAAAAAAAGATCAACTAAAACGTTCAATTTAGTTAACATAAGCTAATAACATTTCAAAAACAACCTGAAATCATGAATACACAATCACAGATTTGGAATTGGTTTAACTACAACACAATGATAACAACAGAATCGACAAAAATAACAAACTCAAACTTTCGGTATTGCAAGTTCCCAAGCGTCCGAGACATCCAACAATTAATGATTACGGAATGATGCAGAAGTGCCGCAAGATGGTGTAAGCAAATATCTCTTCAGTGGCGCTTTAACACAAACTATCGTCTCCTAATTCACTCACTACAAATCTAAAAAGTCAAGGAATCGTAGGACACTATGAGGCTCTCCGGAGGGCGGAAAGAGATTCAACCTAAACGGTCTTCTCATAGTCAAAGTTGCATCCAGACTCAAATCCCATCAGAGTTGAAACCCAAGTAATTTAAGAACTCAATATTAGTTTCTCAGTTTTACAATTTATTGTCATATGACTATTTCGATATATGAAATTGTAGAAAGCTTCCAACAAAAAAAGTTCTAATATTTAGATACAAAATCAAACCCCATGAACTTCTTAAAAGAAAACTTATTAACTATTCATATATATTGTTAAATTTGGAAATGGAAAACATTTTCACTACCACAGTTTCATTAGTATAACTACAACTTAAAAAGTTCAGTTAACTATGATCATGAGATCAATACTACAGTAAGTGGTCGACCGAAGCATTATAAATATAAGATATGCAACTAATCTCAAATAAAAATTCACTACAAATACTTATGTCTTAAACAAGAATTGTGACTTCCAAATTTCTTTTCCATCATCATCATAGACACATGGCAACCAACACAATGCTAAGTAAGTCAGTAACACAAAATTTAACAAACAAAACTAAACACAAACTACCAAAAACAAAAGCATCAAAAATGTCTCCGGCTCCGCGCTTGCGCGGAGATTATGCAACTAGTGTGAATAAAGATGGCAAAAGAGATAGGTATAGTGATTTCTTAGCTCCACACCGTCTTCTCAAGAACTACAACAACCTTATGAAATTTTCTTGGATTCAAATAGGAACTGCAAAGCTAAGTGGTTGTCTGTGTTTCACTCCCACGCAGCAGCATTTACCCAGAGGAACTGGTTAAGATTTGTACTGTGTTTGGTTAAGATTTGAACTGTGTTTGGTGGGTTGAGCCAGACCCGTGCAGTAGTGCAACGCATGGGCGACTCATGAAAGTCCAGATAGCAAGCTATCTTAACAGGCTTTCTCCCTCAAAAGATAGAGTTAATATCGAGTGGGCCGATGGCCCACATATCAGATATTAAACTGATAAGAACAGATACTACACTTGATCTTAGCCAAAAGGCCGAGAAAGGTATGAATTGGAAGAATGGACTCGGCTTTTTTATATAGTGCAAAGTAGATGACTAATGACTCTCTGTCTTACGATGTGGGACTCTTAGAAATATCCTTTTTCTATATTACGACCAATGCCTCTCTTGTCTCTACAGATTATTTTTCAACTGTTGGTTCTTTTCCCATTAGTCACAGAAGTTTCAAACGCAGAAAGGGATGAACTTGGTTGTTCAGGAAACTCACGCTGGTTCCATTGAGTTCATACAAAACACTCTGAAATTTTAAAATTTTGCGTTCATTCTTTCTCCTCTAATGAATGGTTCTCCATCTTTTCTTTGCTACTTATTGGTGTCTCTGTGTGATACTGTTGTTAAAAAAAAAGAGTTTATAGCCAGCCTCTTCAGAAGCAACAAGAGCTTCGCTAAAAATCTCAAACATGTTTTGCTTCCAATCACTCACATAGACCACCACACTTCCCTAAGAAGCTCATATCTTACAATCGCTACCACTTCACCTATTTGCTCATCTTGCTGCTTCACCTTGCCCCTGAGTCCTGAACTTAGTGATACGGACACTTTGTCAATAACAATTGTAAGAGGAGAATCCAGCTCATTAAGCTCCTCGTCGCTCGTGTATCCTTTTCTTTGTATAACAGACGCATTCCTAGTCATTCTCGATATGACTCCTCCTACCTCTGCAACAGGTGAATCTGCATAAGGGAAGAAAACTCCTGATAACTTCTTCTCCGAAATTCTCTGATACGAAACAAACAGACAAAGCGGGTATAGTGAATGCAACAAAGAGCATGGAGTAAGAAAGAGGGATTTGTATTTTGTTTACCTCGGCATTAAGCTCTTCTAGGATAGCTCCAGGGACATGATCAGGACAATACTCATCAGGTGTAAAGTTGCAGAGAATTCTTTTGATCAGTGGAAGACTTACCGATGGGCATACCTATGAATGAGTCAGAGAAACAAAGTCATTTGGTGATCAATAACTTGAGAGTTCAAGAGATATCAAAACAAGACCTCTTCTCTAATGGATAAGTCCACAAGCATGTCTTTAGGGCGCATAAGTAGATCGCTAAGTTCTTGTAACAAACTGAAGTACTTCTCATCCTCAAGAATCTTTAGTGTTCGTGTCAAACATTTCAGTGAGGCATCTACACCAGTTGCCAATCTACAGATGAGAGATTATAACATTCAAGAAACATTCTCATGTGGAGTGAATGATATGACTCACGTTTCTTGATGTTGTACCGCGTTTTTAAGCTGTGCCCCGGACCCAAAGCTTAAGTCTCCTGCAAGGATATGAAGAACTTTGGAATCAAGAATAGGATCAGAGAGGATCAGTTGGAACCTGGTGTTCTGATTCACGTAGTATAGCGTTGAACATGGCTACATCAACTCTAGCTATACACTTCTCCATTACCTGTTTAAAGACAAATAAGATTCCAGTAGCTAGCTTATTTTACTGACATGGAATTTAAAAAATGTAGAATAATATGAGTACCATTTTAGACAAGATATGTAAGCAACCACACTCATGTCCTTCTCCTCTCATAGGACAGAGCCTTGATAGTGCAACTTTGAAAGCATTTTGCCATAGGCTAAATGAAAAGCTTCCTTGTTCTTGATCTCTCATTCGTTTTTCATTTTTGGGGGATTGCATATTAGGTGTGAAGCCCTGAATGACATGAGAGTACAATGACAAGTTTTTGAGATACCTGAAAATGAAAAAGAATTTTCTTTCAATGAATGATACTTCACCTGCCACCAAACAGATTCAACTATTCTAGAGTACAGCCAGAACTAGACTTTTTCTAATGCTGCAGTGAAGGGTCCACTCCCATTTGATTCAGAGGTTTGCGTGATTGCATGTGAAGTGATCTCTCTCATAGCAATTACGTTTGATAACCAGAATGTCAATCTGAAACATCATTTCCGCAAGATTTAGCAGCTAAAATGAGACCAGAGACTGTTTTCTAGAGACAGTTTCTTTCTTTCATTGACTAGGTGTTTGCAAGCATGGATATAGAGTCTTGAAACTCTTCGTGTAAAGCTTGTGAGCTGAGCTAGAATGGTCCTGTATAACCGAAGATAGCGAAATTTCGAGAGCTGCAACTTCTTTTAGCTCTTTTTCAAGTTACTCAATTCTTCTCTCCAAACTCTCTACCTTTAGTTTCAATGCTTCTTCGTCTTCATTGCCTCCTTCTCACTACTATTGCAAATATCTGAAGCATCTTCAACTTCTTTTACCAAATGATCCACTATGTTATCGTCATTGACACCTTCAAAAGTCTCTGAAAAGGATTCAGAGTCTTTGTCACCATCATCAATTTTCACCAAGCCATTCACAATATCTTTTGAGAAGTGTGCTACCGTTGTCCAACAACCTCTGTTTCCTCGGGGATCAGTAAAGAAATGCTTTTGCATTCTTAAGATGTTAATGGTAGTCAAAGTTGCCTCCTCAATAAGATAGTATCTGAGGTCTTTAAAGTAGTATATAGAAACTTACTCTTCTGCATATGGAATTTGAATGATCAACACAAAACTTCTATGTGGTTTTAGCTTTGTAGTCCAATCCTGATTTTTAGAAAATTCAACAAAATCAATTCAAGCAAGTTTTGGAAAACTATGTCTTCCTTCTTTTAGATCTAACTTCAACATATAACTTATCTGCTTTTAGAACTCTATTATCAAATTGAAAGTTTTTCTCGAAAATTAAATAGTATTAAAGGTAAGAAATGGGACAACAGTAGTACACAATACACAACCTTAGTATGAGCATGCTCTCACAACTTTCTAGCAGTCTCATAATCATAAGTTTTTAACAATAGAGTATCTTTCTATAAGCTTAATCTCTTTTTCAACCACGAGCATCTTTGGCTTGTCTTCTTTTCTCACCTCGCAGCATTCGAGTGCCAGGTCGAGAAGCATTTTCATCTCAATAGGCCTCATGTCGGTCGAATCACCCCCAAATTCAACATGTTCTCCTCTCTCTCGCAGATGCTTCACATAATCAAGAATATGAGAACCAATTTCTACGTAACCATCTGATCCAGCAAGAAGTGGTTGTCTTCCCAGCAGAAGAACCAGCATAAAAATTCCAAAACTGTAGACATCAGTGTATTCTGACACTATCTCCGTCAAGTAATAAAGAGGATCTAAGTATCCAGGAGTTCCAGTCACACTATCTTCAATCCACGTCTTACCCTCGGGGAGTGCAATGGCAAGGGAGAAATTATTGAGCTTAGCCCTCCCATTCTTATCCAAAGAAACATTTGTTGCCTTGATATCTCGATGTATTATGATTCTAGGGTAAGCAGTGTGAAGATAAGTTATAGAAGTCGCAACCTCCTTTGCAATCTTCAGTCTTGCATTCCAAGGCAATACCGGCGCGTCCTCGGAACCAAGACTTCCTCTTATGTTCAAAACTCTATATTCTAAGTCTTCAAGGCAACATGCCGTGAGTTTGGGGAAACCAATGTATTTACTTACTCGAGCAGATAAGACAATAGAGTATCTTTCTATAAGCTTAATCTGTTTTGCAACCACGATCATCTTTGGCCTGTCTCCTTTCCTCTCCTCGCAGCATTCGAGTGCCAGGTCGAGAAGCATTTTCATCTCAACAGGCCTCATGTCATTCAAATCACCCCCAAATTCAACATGTTCTCCTCTCTCTCTCAAACCCTTCACATGGTCAAGAATACTAGTGTCAGTATCCATGTAACCATCTGATCCAGCCATAAGTGATTGTCTTCCCAGCAGAAGAACCAGCATAAAAATTCCAAAGCTGAACACATACACATCTACGTATTCTGTCACTATGCTCGTCAACTGATAAATAGGATCTATGTATACAAAAGTTCCAAACACCCGCTCTAACTTCCACGTTTTACCCTCAGGGAGTGCAATGGCAAGGGAGAAATCACTGAGCTTAGCAGTCCCATTCTTATCCAAGAAAACATTTGTAGGCTTGATATCTCGGTGTATAATGATTCTAGGGAAAGCAGTGTGAAGATAAGTTATAGCAACCACGACCTCCTTGGCAATTTTCAAACGTACATTCCACGACAACACAGGCTCGACCTCATGACCAAGACTTCCTAGATGGTTCAAAGGTCTATATTCAAGGTCTTCAAATAACAACAACTGATGAGGAAATTCGAGACAATAACCAATGAGTTTGAGGAAACCAATGTGATTACTTACCCGAGCAGATAACACGATATCGTTGTAAGCATTCTCTTCATCTTTAACCACTCGGCTTGTAAATCTCTTGATCAGGTAAGACCTGCCTTCGATGACGCCCTTGTACCAGATGGACCATGATGAATTAAGAGGGAGAGAACAATTGGGATCGAAGTTATTCGTGGCATTGGAGATTTGATCGGAAGAAAACATTCTAATAGGGTTTGATATGCCATTACAGTCGGCTATGAGTTCCTTAAGAAACACGCTTCCATTTTCGAGGAAACACTTTCTTGCATTCTTTTTCTCCTTCTTCCTTCTCCAGAATTCCATCGTCTGATGATTTGTCTCAGATTGGCAATGTCTGCAGATACCTTTCAAACATGAGAGAGACGCTCTCACAGTATCTTCTTTTTTAATGTAAAATAAAGACGTTGACTTATGAGAAGAATATGTTAAATAATCAAACATGCAAATACAAAATATGGGTAAACCTCTCCCACTTTGTGTTCTATATACCTTTGCCCACAAGGTACCTCGTGATCATGTAAGTTATGTTGTCAATGATACCTCTGATCTTGATCTTTCATTTGAGATATATAACCCATCCGGGAGAGTAAGAGCAAGGGAGAAATCAGACACCTTAGCTGTCCAGTTCTGTGTGCAATGATCCTAGGAAGCTCTGTCTGAAGATATCCGCAGTGGCGATTTCCTTTGCCCATTTTTTTATCTTACATCCCAAGGCAAGAACTCTGTATCCAAAACTTCATGTCTTCTTCAAATCAGTAAAGAGAATGCTCTTTCAGTTTTAGAATGTTAATGTTAGTCAAAGTTGGCTCCTCTAGAAGATACAACAATATATTGATGCTGAATCATAAGCCAATAAAGTTTCAGTAAGTGAACGTTTTCATTCAATTAGTTTGGAACTCACTCTTTTGCACATGGAGTCTGGATAGATAAAGTAAAAATTTCATGAGGTTTCAGCTCTGCAGCCTAATTAATCCTGATAAACAATTTGAATTAGAATAATTTGAAGCAAGTTTTCAAAACTATACTTCCTGATATCGGATCTAATCGGTGCTACAATGCTTACTTGCTCAGTTAAACACCAAGCTTTTCTGAAAACGAGAACCATCTCAACACCAAATCATCTAATCATAATCCACCAACAAACTTCAGCAGTCACATGTGTTCTCTTGCACTGTTTATGTACAAAAACAGAGTTGTGCTCATAAACACCAGACAAGTCCTAATCACTGAACGTGTACATTACAATACTCCAAGTTTGAGAATGTTTTCGTGGTGATTGAGAATGTAAATTAAGATGGCAAAAGAGATAGCTATAGTGGTTCCTTAGCTCCACACCGTCTTCCCAAGAATTACAACATTTTCTTGGATTCAAACGGAAACTGCAAATCTAAGCGAATTGTCAGTGTTTCGCTTCAAGAAAAACTGTTTAAGCATTGAACTATGTTTGGTGGGTTGAGCCAGGCCCGTGCAGTAGTGCAACGCATGGGCGACTCTTGAAAGCCCATATAGCAAGCTATCTTAACGGGTTCTCTCCCTAAAAAAATAGAGTTAATATCGTGTGGGCCGATGACCCACATATCAGATATTAAACTGATAAGAACAGATACTACACTTGATCTTAGCCAAAAGGCCGAGAAAGGTATGAGTTAGAAGTAGGGTTTGGATCTCATTTTATAGTGCAAAGTAGATGACTAATGACTCTTTGTCTTACGATGTGGGACTACTAGAAATATCCTTTTTCTATCTCTACAGATTATTATTTTGCAACTGTCGGTTCTTTCCCTTTCGTCACAAAAGCATAACAAACCTAGAAGAACGATGCAAGATTCACAAAAGTTCTACAAACCCAGAAACTGATGAAATTGGTTTTCAGGAAACAGTCTGAAATTTTAAAATTTTAAGTTCATTCTTTCTCCTCTAATAGTGTCTCTGTGTGATACTGTTGTTAAAAAAGAAAGAGTTTATAGCCTCTTCAGAAGCAACAAGAGAGCTACACACAAAATCTCAGCATGTTTTGCTTCCAATCACTCACATAGACCACACTTCCCTAAGAAGCTCATATCTTACATTCGCTACCACTTCACCTACTTGCTCATCTTTTTGCTTCACCTTCCCAGTGTGTCCTGAACAAAGTGATGCAGACACTTTGTCAATAACAAATGTAAGAGGAGAATCCAGTTCATCGAGCTCCTCGTCGCTCGTGTATCCTTTTCTTTGTATCATAGACGCATTCCTCGACATCCTAGAGATGTCTCTTCCTACCTCTGGGATTTTCTCTGCCACATTAGTTGATGATGGAGGAATGTATGAAACGGGAGAAGCTGCATAAGGGAAGCTAAATCCTGATAACTTCTGCTCCGAAATGCTCTGATGAGAAACCAAACAAAAAAAAAAGAGTAGTAGTGAATGCAAAAAAGAGCACATAGTAAGAAAGAAGGATTTGAATGTTGTTTACCTCGGCGTTAAGTTCTTCTAGGACAGATCCAGGGACATGATCAGGACAGAACTCATCAGGTGTGAAGTTGCAGAGTATTCTTTTGATCAGTGGAAGACTTATCGATGGACACACCTAAGAATCAATCAAAGAAAGGAAGTCATTATCTTGATCAAGAACTTGAGAGTCATATAGATATCAAAACAAGAACCTCTTCTCTAATGGTTAAGTCAATAAGCATGTCTTTAGGGAGCATAAGTAGATCACTGAGTTCGTTTAACAAACTGAAATATGTCTCATCTTCTTCAACAGAGTCTATAGTGTTCATGTCCAACACTTCAGAGAGGCATCTACACCAGTTACCAATCTACAAGTGAGAGAGATTATAACATTCAAGAAACATTCTCAAGTGAAGTGAACGATATGATTCATGTTTCTTGATGTTGTACCGCGTTTTTAAGCTGTGCACCGGATCCAAAGCTTAAGTCTCCAGCAGGGATAGGCAGAACTTTGGAATCTATAATAGGATCAGAGACAGGATCAGTGGGAATCTGGTGTTCTGATTCGCGTAGTATAGCGTTGAACATGGCTACATCAACTCTCGCTATACACTTCTCCATTACCTGTTAAAATACAAATAAGATTCCAGTAGCTAGTTTATGTTACTCACTTGGAATTTTAAAAATGTAAAATAATATGAGTACCATTTTAGACAAGATAGGTAAGCAACCACACTCATGTCCTTCTCCTCTCATAGGACAGAGCCTTGATAGTGCAACTTTGAAAGCATTTTGCCATAGGCTAATTGAAAAGCTTCCTTTCTCATTCGTTTTATCGCCATTTTCGGAGGATTGCATGTGAGGTGTGAAGATCTGAAAGAGAGGAGAGAACAAGAATAAGTTTTAGATACCTGAAAAAAAAATGTCTTAAATTTTCAATGAATGATACTTCACCTGCCACCAAATAGATTCAACTATTCTAGAGAACAACCAGAACTCAACTTTCTCTAATGATGCAGTGAAGGTTTCACTCCCATTTGATTCAGAGATTTGTGTGAATGCATGTGAAGTGAGACCTCTCAGAGTGATTATGTTTGATAACCAGAATGTCAATCTAAACATATATAACCAAGAAAAAATTCTGAGATAAATCAAGATCCTGAAAGGTACTAGACACATGGTGTTAAGTTGTGTGTTTGTGTTACCTTGGAACATCATTTCCGCAAGATTTAGCAGCTAAAATGAGACCAGAGACTGTGTTTCTAGCGACGGTTGCTTGCTGTCCTTGACTCCAATGTTTACAAGCATGGATATAGAGTCTTGAAATTCTTCTAGCAGGGGTGTGAAGCTTGTGTGATAAGCTAGAGTGGTCTGGTACAACCGAATAGAGTGAAATCTCTAGAGCTGCAACATCTCTTAGCTCTTCTTCAAGTTTCTCAATTCTTGTCTCCAAACTCTCAACCTTTTGTTTCAATGCTTCTTCATCCTCATTTTCCTCCTTCTCACTTCCACTACTAATGTCATTATCTGAAGCATCTTCCTCAACTAGTTTTACCAAAAGATCTGCTCTCTTATCTTCATTGCCACCTTCACAAGTATCCAACAAGGGCGCAGTGTCTTTACTTTCTTCCTCCTTGTCATCATCATCAGCATCTTTCTCTGCTACTTCACTAGACTCAGACTCATGATGACTCTCTGAAGACCCATTCACTGCATCATCATTTGCTTCTGTAGTTGTAACACTTACTGCTTCAGAAACCTTAGATTCTTGTTTAGCTTCCAAAGTCTTGAGTCTTTCTTGCTCTGAAGATCTTTTAGCACCGTTCTTCTTCTGTGGCTTTTGATCTCTTTTCCCATTCTTCGTAGACCGATTCAACTGAAGATTACTGGCTGTTCTTCCCTTCATCATATCACCAAACTCTTCTTTACTTTTTCTCCTTTGCAGCAGTTACTTAAAAACTTCCAAGTTAAAAGAGTCTAAAAGGAACAGAGGAAAATGACAAAACACTCAGTTGTGTATATTCCCAAAGCAAATTACGATATAAAAAGGAAAACGACATTATTAGCACATGAAAAAGATTTATATAATAGTACTAAAAAAGGCAAGCAATCAAATAGATTCTCACAAGTTCCTAGTTGTTTAATAGAAATGAGTGCATTCACTTTGTATCTAGTGAATGATCACAAGAATGACTTTGATCATATAGATTTTGATTAACCCTTCGAAGAAGTAAAATCATGTTTCAGGTTCAGAGAGAAACAAAAACAATGCATAGTGCATAATATCGAAACAGAGGAAACATAAATAAGAAAAAAAATGGAAATTAGGAAGACACAAACCAGAACAAGAAATCAACTACTTCACTTGGGGATCACCAATAAACCAGCTTTGTTTCTCAAAGGAGCTTTTTTGAAAAAAAAAAACGTAAAAGCAACTTTCTCTATATTCTCTGGCTCGCGGGTTGCATATGAGTACGTGATTTAAATGAGAGGCATTTAATAACATTACGGAACGTGTGAGTGATGCCGTCCGTTACATGTTAACCGGGAAGCTTTGTCGGTGGTTCAAGTGGTTTACCTAGAGTTGCCGGTCACATTGTACTCGTTTACTTTGTTAGCAATGATGATTGATGACTGTATTGTCCCTTTCACTTTCGTAATTTCAGATTTCATTTGCCTTCCACTTCCTCCTAAACAGTGATTGTGATTTAGATTCAGATTTTTATGTTTCTTACATTCACAGAGAAAAAAATGTGAAAAATAATTTTCTTATTGACAAGTCAGGATAGTTCGGCAAACGATTGCATAGTAGATTAGAACACAGATATAATCATAACTAGATTTTGACCCGTGCTTAAAAGCGCAGAAAAATTTTATGATTAAAAAATTATATAATTGAGTTTTATCTTAGTTTAAAGAATATTTTGATATAAAATCAGTTCACCAAAATTTGTGGTGATGATTATTTTTCATTAGTTTTTAGTCTCAGTTTTTATTTTTAGATTTTGGTTTTCGGTTTTTAGTTTTTAAGTTTCTACTTTTCATTTTCAGTTTTTGGTTTGGGTTTTTAATTTTTAAACCCGCTGAGTTAGTTTGAAATAATATTACCAACAAACAAATCTCAAATAATTGAACATCTAATTCAAAACTGAAAAGATGACAACAAATTAAAAAATAATATTTAAATAGTTTATTTTCTAAATAAACAAAGCAAAAAAATATAACATGTGTTTTCAGCTTTTGGTTTTAGATTTTAGTTTTTAGATTTGGTTTTTGGTTTTGCTTTACATTTTTTTAATCAGTAAATTATTAAGAAAAATAAAACAATAAATTATTTAAAAGTTACCATTGAAATTTATCAAAACAAAGTGATTGTTATTTAGAATAAAAAAATATATTAATATGTTTTAAAGTACATGACATAAATGATTAATAATAGATAATTTTGTTTTGTTAAAAATATTAAATACCTTTTTGGTCTGAAAAAAATAATTGATTTTTCGATCTTTTAAGGTGAAAAGTTTATTCAATGTTTTTAGAGTTTTTTTGCTTAATACTAAGCCCAAAAACCAAACTATATAATTTGTTCAAAAAATAAAAGTAAGCCCAAGACTATATTCCATAAATAACCACTGGTTTAATTTAAGTATAATTAGTAGATTTTCATATTCCATATTTTGATGATATATATTCTTTTAGAACATTCTATATTTGTAGGAGAAAATATGTGTTTTCGGTATACACATAGATACCTGCCATATTTTGAAGGTAGTTTACATTAAGGTCGTCTCTTTACATTAATTGTGTTTGTTTAATTTAAGTAATACGGTTCAATCAATTATATGACTTATATTATTTGTAACATTCTAGAAATGGTCCAAATTTAAATGACAACTTGTATCAGTAGATAAAAAGAATGACTCTGTTTTAATATAGTAGACTAGATTTTGATCCGCGCTTAAAAAGCGCGGAAATTTTTTATGATTAAAAATTTATATAATTGTGTTTTGTATTAATTTAAAGAATGTTTTGTGATAAAATCAGTTCACCAAAATTTGTGGTGATTATTGTTATTCATTAGTTTTTAGTTTCAGTTTTTATTTTTAGATTTTGGTTTTTGGTTTTTAGTTTTTAAGTTTCTATTTTTGATTTTCAGCTTTTGGTTTGGTTTTTTAAATTTTAGACCCGCTGAGTTAGTTTGAACTGATATTACTAACAAACAAATCTCAAATAATCGAACATCTAATTTAAAACTGAAAAAATGACAAAAAAATTTTAAAAAAAAATTTGCAATAGTTTATTTTCTAAAAAAAAAAAAAAAAGATAACCTGTTCTTTTCAGTTTTTGGTTTTAGATATTAGTTTTTAGATTTGGTTTTTGGTTTTGTTTTACATTTTTTTTAAATCAGTAAATTATTTAAGAGAAATAAAAAAATAAATTATTTAAAAGTTACCATTGAAATTTATCAAAACAAAGTGATTATTATTTAAAATAAAAAAATATTTTAACATGTTTTAAAGTACATGATTTAAATAAATGATTAATAATAGACAATATTGTTTTGTTTAAAAATATTAAATACCTTTTGGGATTGAAAATAATAACTGATTTTTTGATCTATTAAGATAGAAAGTTAATTCAATGTTTTTTGGAGTTTTTCTTTAATAATAAGCCCAAAAACCAATCCATATAATTTGTTCTAAAAACAAAAGTAAGCCCAACACTATATCCCATAAATAACCATCGGTTTAATTTAAGTAATGCGGTTCAATTAACTATATGACTTGTATTATTTGTAACATTCTAGAAAGGGTCCAAATTTAAATGACAACTTGTATCAGTAGATAAAAAGAATGACTCTGTTTTAATATAGTAGATATTAGATTACAACAAGAAAATAACTTTTGCTTTGATAGAATGATAAAAATCACTTTAAATGGATAGTAATACCGACATAACGCAAATGCTGATTTTGGAACTAGATGCAAACAATTTAAAACATCATCATCAATGCAGCGAGCAATAACAATAAGTATAGCACTACTGTTCATAAGCAGCTAACAAAATTCATATAAATTAATGCCAACCTTTTCAGTTGACCCTATTTGGTCAAATCATGAAAATTTGGCAGGGGCTGCTTGAAAATGAAATTACATGATTCTACTGTGTTATATCCTACAAATTGCTTATATGATTACCTACAAGCTAGACTCTTTGTTAAACCGTAAGAATAGCATGATAGAACGTACTTGAGCAACACCAAGAAAAACAACTTGTATTATTAAAAATTACTTAAAACAATTTCCCTATTTCTGTTTATTCCGATTTACTCAACGTCACACTTAACTTGAGACGAACCAATTCTTAATCTACCTGAAACACAGATCGAGACAATTTCACCAATTGCAAAAACTAATATCGCAGCTTAGAACACATTTCTATATGAAAATAAACTCTAAACCGTAACTTAACTGAAGAACCTTATCCCATGCTATATATTTAAGTGAATGTGAAAGGGTGCAAGTGTTTATTTGAACCATTGCAATTGTTTATATGAACAATTACAACTACATAAATGAAACCTTGTAACTCTTAGTGATTACAACCTTTGGTAATAAACCATATTGATCAGTACCGGCTTTACACATGTGCTGGCAGTGCTTTTGCACTAGGTCCTTCATTTTTTTAGAAAATTTCTTTAAAGAACTAGGGTCTTGTTTTATCAAAAACAACATAATTAGGGCCCTAATTTTCAATTTTTAAGTATATAACAACAATTTTAAAAATTGTTCTTTTGAGCACAAGGCCCATTGACTGAATAAGCCGGCCCTGATATTGATTATGACAACTTTTGGTAATAACTACTTTTATGATTGCAACTCTTGGTGATTAACCATTGATAATTGCAACCTTTGGTAATAACTACATTTATGATTGCAACCCTTGGTGATTAACCATTGTAATTCCTTAACTAACCATTGCTACTCTTCATTAACATTTGCAACTCTTTGTTTTAACCATTGCAACTATTGGTTGCAACCTTTCATTCTTTATATAAAAGAATGTAGGCATTGGCAAATGAGATAAAAAAAAATCAGAAACAAATAGTTAGTAAGAGAGAAATAGATTCATTGTACAGAGATCATCAAAGATCTTTGAAGAACACATATAAACACTAAAACATCTTTTTGTTTCTCTTGTATCTTAACCTAGAACAAGAGTGAGACTTTGATTGTCTTATCCTACAAAGAGATTTCGTGTAATCCAAAGGTTTGGAATAGGGTCAAAATACTCTTTAAGGAAAGTGACCTCGTGCGCGATTCAATCATCATCCAAGTATATAATTCACAAATTTCTGGGTTACAACCCAATTAACCAACAATCTTAAAGAGTATTTTTTTGTGAATTATGGCAGGTGTATCAATGCGAGAGATGACATCAAAGTTTGGAAAGTTAGATAAATTTGAGGGAGTAGACTTTACAAGATGGCAAAAGAAAATGCATTTTCTCCTCACAAATCTGAATGTAGTGTATGTTCTAAGCATGCCTATGCCTACTGTGCCAGAGGATGTTGAGAATGATTCTTTGGATGAGACAAGGAAGCAACTTAAATGGGGAAATGATGATTACATATTCCGTGGTCATATTCTCAACGGTATGTCAGATCCTCTCTTTTATGTTTATCAAAATGTCGAATTCGAAAAAGAGTTATGGGATGCGTTAGAATCAAAGTACATGGCTGAGAATGCTTCTAGTAAGAATTTTCTTGTTAGTAATTTTAAAAATTAGATGTCTGATTCTAGGCCAGTTATGGAGAAATACAATGAATTGCTTCGTATACTAGGTTAATTTTCCCAAACATAATGATGGATGAATCCATCTCAGTATCGAGAGATAAGTTACCACCTACATGGAAAGATTTTAAAGACATGTTAAAACACAAAAAAGAAAGAGTTGTCTCTTGTACAACTTGGCAGCCATTTGCGTATAGAGGAATCTCTAAGGACGCAAAAGGGAGAAAAACCAAAAAATAATGAGGCTGGTACATCTTCCATCAATATGATGGAGGAAGGTGTGAGTTTTAAGAAGAAAAATTGGAGGAAACTCTCCTCTAATAGAAACACTTACAATGGATCTAACAAAACGTTTAAGAGCATTTGTTGGAATTGTAACAAGCCGGGTCACTTAAGTCGTGATCTCTGAGCAAGAAAGGATAAGAATAAAATGGGACAGAACCGTTTGGGACAAAGGTCTAAGGGCCAAGGTCCATCCACTCATCAAGGTCAAATTTTTGATTTTAAACTATATTCTAATAAGAATTATGTATCAAAATTTACGAGGCATTTCATGTGCAGGATGATGA